CGACGATAAAGGCATTGAGATGTTCGTAATTTGAAAGATTTGAATGCTATTACCAAATTTTTCCCCATCCAAGTTAACACAACGCTTCCTTACTTTAAAAGTGACACATCTCACAAAAAATGTGATTTTCAAATTACCATGAGTGAGTTAAGTAAATATTACCCTATTAATCATTAAAGGTAGAATTAACTTCGTAAAAATCATCACAATTCAAAAAAAGATCTAAGAGGTATGATGACTACAAAAATGATAAAAATAGCATTTGAGTATATTAAGAATGCATACTTTTTGCCGATGTTATTTGATTAGTCAATAATTTTTTGTCAAATTGAAAAATAGTTTTTCACTTTAACTTAATCCTTGAGAATCATTTTTTTTGAGATAAATTTAGATCTAATATATCTTGTTTACATATATATATATATAAAATATAATATATAAATCTGATATTACATAGATCTTGATTTAGATAGAACTTGATATCACATAGATTTGTATTAAAAATTTGATTTGTTAATGACTTGAAATTGCTTCATACGTCCTGTAAAAGTTCAGACACGCGAATGTCAAGAGTTATTCTTTCTTATGCAAATTTCTTGAAACCCTTTCTTTCTTTATTCTAAAAAAACGACCTAGATTTTTAGTTGTAAGATTATGTTATAAAATAAGAGTTATACAGTTTCTGGAAGCATAACTCCATTACTCTTTCCAGAAATAATAGATTAATGTCTAATGACAAGGTTGGCCAGTCAGCAATTTCTCATAATATCGCGAATACAAAAACCTTAAGATTTCTTTTTCTATTATCTCTCTTACTTCTATTACTAACCTATCCTATCTTTTAAGAGAATTGACTGATTCTATTTGCTGTCACAATTTACAAGTTTCATTTTCATAATTATATATAATGTATTATATTAAAGGAAAAAATTATCTCCTGTCTTCATTACATTTTACAGCAAATACATTATTACATACCGTATTTTTTTAATTATATGACTCTTTAATACAGCATGAATATAATATGTAGCACGTTATTTAATTAAACTTTATGCTTAATGAAAATGGAAAATAACCTTTTTATTCTCAGTGTAATAAGTTAGATCATTTTTTATTGTGAAAATTTATACAAAATCTAAATTATTACTTGTTGATCGTTAATGAAAATCATATAAATATTTCTCATTCAATTTTCAATTGATATTCACATTATTATATTTTAATATAATTATTATGTATTACATTTATCATATATTATATATATATATATACTTATAAAAAAGTTATAATGAAAGATTTTTTGCGAGTGAATATATTATGCAAAAAAAAAATGAATTTTTAAATGTAAGACAATTTTTTTACAATTTCACATAAAGTTTTTATGGAGACGAAAACACCTGATAAAATTTATGGTAAAAAAATGAGAGAAAAAATGGAAACGTAGTAGAATATTCTTACGTTAGGTTACATAATTAGTGGATCAAAGTGATTACTACCAGGTTGAATTTCTTAGGATTGGTGCGAGTATTGAAGCGCGCGACACGTGACTGGAGACTTGCCGCAGATATTAATTAAAATTCGAGCGGGCACTCGACCCGTAATGAAGAGATCTGCCGCTCTTTAATCACCTCCGCGTTACATGAAAACCACCCGACAACGCTCGTATGTGTGTATACGTGTGTATAACGCGCGTATAAGCACGCTTTTGTGTCGCTCTGTAAGTTACTTCTCCTTTAGGCTCTCGCGGCGCAAGCGAGAGTCCGTTCCAATTACACGTCGTGGTTAAAGTTTCCGCAAATAATACAGCGGAAGTTGCTGATCTCTCAGCTTCTTATCCCCGTGGTGTTCCGCCGCGTTTGTGAGAGCCTGCAAAAAATAGTCTTTTTCACGACGCGGTTGGTTCGTTGAACTCATTAGAAAGACGCGACATAGTCATCATTCGACGATTGATGCCTTCAATTATCGCGGAATTAATAGTTTGACAGATGACAAGACAAAAAGAACACTATCGGCGGAGTCGATGTGAATGACAAAGCAAAAAGCAATTCTTTCTCCGTTTAAGTTTAATTCTACGCTATTCGTAAAATAGTGTTAAAGTTATGATAAACAAAGTCTGCATAGAATCGATGAAATGGGTATATCACGATAATTTATAATAATAATAATCATTTAATATGAATATGATTATTACACGGAAAGAATGATTTTGTTGAAATATTTCAAAATTAAGGTATAGATACAGATTTGAAAATAATTTTATCAAATCATCAAAATAATTACGTAGGAAACTTGAGCATAATGAGCAATGCCGCAAAAAGTTTTGAGCATTCTAGCAAACAGTTTGAGTGTTCTATATAATTATTTTAATGGTCAACAAATTTATGTATTTTCAAATTTGTAATTATCTAAATTTTAGATATTTCAGCAAAACCATTCGTTTCCCGTACAAGCCGGTAATTAAGCAAAGAACGAGTGCACATTGAAAAAAAAAATTTTAGTATTATAAGTCTATAATTGAATTGCCACCGCAAAAGTCTGAACACATTACTTAAAAGTTGCTGATTCAGATATATCAATATCGATATCACGCCTGAGTGATGGTCTGACAAGAGACTTTTGATTTTAAAGATCTCTCGTCTAGACGGTTCGGAGAATGTGGTCTCTCCACAGTTGGAAACCACATACGCGTGTCACCGCACAGCGGAATGCCAGAATCCGTAGATAGTAAAGTTGATGGCAGCAGACCAAAGAGAATTTTCTAGTAGCGTACACTTTGGTTACTCGGCAAGTGAGAGTCACTTCGATTCAACCTTAAAAGGCTCATCGCACGCACACATATAAATGTTGAAATCTGCTTCATCAAAATGTATTCCTTTGTAAAAAAGAAAAGAATTTATAAAATGACTCACTAATAAGTGATATATTAATCGGACATAAATAAATACAGTTTGAAAGTCCTTTTTTTCCTTTTTTGTTCTTTTCATATCATTTTCTGTCACATACATTTATTCTCTTTTTTTCCTTTTTACTTTGGTATAATATATAATTTCTTTTGATTCTCATTGTGCACTTCTTTCATATTTCTTTCTATTTAATATTTTATTAGACGCTTTTTTGCTGTATTATTTTTTATGTTAATAAATTTATTTCTAGAATATAATGAATTGAATCGGAAAAAACAATAACGCTGCTTCATTTGTATCATGTTTAAGTTTTAAAGAATTTAACAATTATATCATTATTCGAAAGAGTAAAGTTTCAGCTTTAAGAATCTGTTTTTTTTTAATAATGATTTTTAGCGAAGACATGAGAAATCAAGATCCTTTATTGAATCCATGATAACTCAGTAACAAAAAATCTTAAAAACATTTAAAAAAAAAACGATTTTGTATGAAAAGCTTTGAACTTTCACGTTAGAAAATCGATAATTTTCGTAAGTCTTTTGGGCACATGACAGGCTCACAAAGAAAAAAACTTTTTCATTTTACCTAGCTCTATAATTTTTTATATATTATCTATAAAAATTATCGAACTCACAGAAACTCAAAAGACATAGTGATATTTTAAAGTATAGATTTTAAACTTTTAAAACTCTTTTTTTTAAATTTAAATTTTGTTTACTTTTAACGAAATTACAGCTACTTGAATTTTGTAGTTTGTACCGTCACAAACTTTTGTCCCGACCCAATAATTTCTTCCCGTTCTTTTTATATTCCTTCTCTTTCATTTGTACACAGTTCAATGAATGCAACACGATATACATTATTAGTAAAATTGGATGTGAAGTAATATTACTGTAAAAATAGCTCAAAGTACGTAAGCACTTTGTTGATTTTTAACATCATATTTTGCTTCTTTCTTTTGGCAGATGTTTCTTGCACTTGGACGTTTCAAGTGCAACATTTATGTAAGATAAATGTGTAAACTTAAAACATTCCGACAATATAATCACAAACAATGCATATTCGAAAATAATAAGTTGATGAAAGTCGCACGTCTAATTTAACACTGGTAGACTACGTAAAACAATATACTGATATCATATAAACCCATTTTCGCGACATACCAGTTACGAATTCGTGTTCTACACGTGACGCTCTTACGCAAATGTGAGCCTCACGCATGAAGTAACAGCACGCAGGATGGAGAAATGCGATCGCGAGCGTCGGAACAGATGGGTGGGAGCTCGATCTCCATATAAGCATCTCGAAATCCTTTCGTAGATTCGATCATCGCACACGCGAAGGACGCACCTCCGCCTCCGCCACGTTTTCCCAGACGGTGGTTGGAGACTGGCGTTGGTACGGGATACCGCGGTACGTAGAGACTTGAAAAATTGCATTTTGTATTCAATAACTAAGCTGTCACGCCGACTGGTGAGCTTCTATAACTCAAAGCGCATCCACGCAGCCACGCTTACACCGCCTCTAGATCGATCGATTCCCCTTTTCCGAAGTAAAGCAACATCGAGAATATACGGAGAGTATATACTCTCCCTAGCGCACTCGTGGAAACTCACTGACGTTGTGATTTCAAAAAATTCTGCCGTCGAACTTTGTATCGGATTTTGTCGATCGAGTTTGCCTGCTTTCCAAAACCCGACGATGTCTGACAGATCCCGAAACTGTCTCATATTTGTCAGGTAAATTTAGCGCAAGATTTTGTCGCATTGTGGCGTTATACATACAGATGTCCCGTTTCAACCATATTAAAATTTAATTAAAACTTTATGTGGTATAATGGTCTATCTCTGTACAAATAATATGTTGTAAAGCATTACCGCGGGTATGAAATATGATTTGAGCATTTACGCATATAATTTTGTTTTTATTACTTATGGGGTAATTAAATGAATATAGAGTTTAATTAATTATTATGTGTTAGTTTAGAAATTTTCTCGTAATTTTAGCAGGTAATATTTTAGATTTCAATTACGTATTAGAGAAAATTATATTTTATGTATATTAATGTATGTTTCTATGTTGATTATCTTCTTACAGTTACCACCATCCCTGATCCTGAATTTGTCGACGAAATAGGAAACATCACAGTACCAGCAGGACGGAATGTCAAACTGGCTTGCAGTGTGAAAGATCTTGGATCATTCAAGGTACGTACAAGAATGATTAACATTATGTTTTGTTATACTATAATTCATTTATATGTAACGAGTTTTTGTTTTTATTAATTTAACTACATTCGCGGATTATAATATTAACAGGAACAACAAAAATATTGTGCACTTGCCAAACAATTAATACGAGTTAATAAATCAATAATCTACGCGTATACCAGTCTACATTAATATCGAAGATTAAAAATTTAATCAATTTTATTAAAACAAGCGAGCAGTACAGTTTTAAGATAAATATTAAACATCAATATTTTGTTCACAGTCGACTTTTAATTAAAATTTTAAAGACCGACGTATCTTTTTACTTTTCGTTTCATAATTTTCTAAATTCAATCTCCGTTGAAAAACCGAGTTAACACAGAATTATGAGTACGTGATATCTCGTTAGATCACGTGGCTCGATGATACTGAGATACTTTGATAAATGTCATTCATCAATAAAGGACCTCATTAAATTCGAAGCGCGGGATGCTAGAGAAAAATTGAGGGCGAAGAGGAATACATATCTTCGAGGATCTTGAATAATTTTCTCATCTGGCGCACTCATCTCACTCAGCTGCTATCGTACGCGGAATAAATTAATGGCACTATGAATGTATATACTGAGTATTACATTTAATATATTTTCGTATTTAAAACAACACGAATAGATTGATATATATATAATCATCACTAATTATTAAATTAATCTTATCTGAATGGAACCAATTGTGAATAACGTTAAAAATTTACATTTCTGGAAATCAAAATTTCAAGTAATTTGATAATCTACTTGATATTATTTTTCCTCACTATTTTTCCCCCACGATGATTAATTAAAATTACATCATCGTTAACGGATATGATAATATTAGTCACTTTTAGCCAAAAAATTTGACTAAACTATTTGATATCAGCTATATTCTTCACCACGATAAATTAAAATTGCATCATTAATAAACGCGATAATGCTATTTTTAACATGGATGTATTTTATCTTTTATATCATAAAAAAACAAGTCTTCTTATCTTATTTACGTTTTTCGCATTTTTTAAAGATTTTAAGGTAGTCTAAAAGGTGTATAAATAAATGAAGAAGAATGCCAAAGTATATAAATTTGGCAATCAAGTTATTAAAATATCGTTCATATTCGCGAATGAACTAGAAACATACACTTGCAACTCTACAGAACGAGCAACGGAAGTCGGAAGTTTGACGCGGCTACCTGGAATTTTACATCCGGAAAGGGAAGTAAGATTGAATTGGCACTTTCTGGATCCGCGCCAGCTCGTCTCACACTATATGTCGCACCACTCGAATAGTCGTCATCTCGTTTCCCCAAGTCTCAAATTGAAGAATTCGATCGTACCAGTAAGGCGTTCTTTTCGTGTGTTTAAAATGCATCTCGTTTTCTTTTTATTCATGTTATTTTAAAATTATTTATCTCATTGTAATAAATTTAATATAGCTATTAACGCAGAACATTTTAATTTTATTTCCTCGAACTGTTATTTAGTTAAAAAATAAGACAATTCTTTCTCTCTCACTCTCTTCATTTTTCAAAATGAAAATTATTGTTCGAATCAAAATTTATATTCCATGTTAACTTCGACTAAGTTCTGCATATTTTTCTATTATTTTATAAATTAAAACTATCAAATTTTTTACTCAATTCTAATATAATATCTAAAACGCGCGCGCTAAAATGCTAAAATTTTCTTCAATTTATCAATTTTAGTAATAATATAATTTATTAAAGTTTCTGAGCAAAGAAATTATTTTTATATATATTATTAATTGTATGTATTAATTGTATGTATAAAAATATTTTTTAAGATTCAGTATTCTAACTTGTGTGAAGATTTCCGAAACATGTCGAAGATCGAACTGGACAATACTTTGTCGAGCGCTTGTACGGCTTGTACGGAGTGATTTTATATTGTGGTCTGAGTACGTGCAACGGTTTACCTTTCACTACTACCACTCCTCCTTACGAGCCTTATACTGCCCCTTAGTGCCCTTTAGTGTCCCATGGAAAAGGCCATCGGGGATCGCAATCGCTAAACACGCACTTAAACCAACCCTTGTGTCTGTTCACCGAGATCAACGTTATATTATCCTATGATCGTTCTATCTATTGTTTATCGTATGCAGGTTTATACGTGTATCGAACAAAAAGTAATTATTATGGAAAGTTACATCGATCAGTTATTGCTGATCGCATTTCTTGTGATTTCCAGATTTATTGTAACGGCACACACCATAATTTCACGTGTAATATAAATCGAAAGAGCAATCGATCGTAGATACTACAATAAATGTAAGAGGAATAGTTACAATATAGAATACAAGAGAGAGGAATTTAATTTTACATTAATTTTGTAAATTTTTCGAGAAACAAAATAAAAGTCCTAATTTCAATCTAAATTGAAATGAGCGTATAAATTACAAAGATCTTTTTTTTTATCTCCGGACACCGGAACGGAACAAGGCGGGATATTTTATATCGCTTTGAACTTCGTTTGATATAATTTTGCATTCATTGCCAGGGAATCCGAATTATTTCGCAATCTCTCTGAAGTTGCGCTTGACGTCGTTAACGGGTACATTTACGCGCGAAAAAATTTTATCGCGTTTAACGTATTTCTACATTTTTCTGGTCTTCTGGATCGCTCGTCGAGGTTGAGCCCCCGCGTATTATCGAAGAAAAATTCACGATATTTAATTCCCATCGATGCTGCAATGAGATTTTCGTACTTTCATTTTACTCGTTGGCGTCGTAAAGATCAATCGTTTCATTCTCACGACTCAAGACATACCGGCCAAGAAAAATAACCGTTTAGTCAAGATATTAAAATTCCAACTTTTTTTTACTGCGCATCGATACAATATGATATTTCACCGAGAAATTTTCTTTTGTTCCTTAAAGTATTCATTGCTGTACATCAGAAAAAGCTGGCCCGTAACGTTATATAAAAATTTAATTTAACAGCTGCTATTATTAATTTTCAACGCTTTTGAAAAAAAAAAAATTACGGTTTGATAGAGACTATTACACTGAGATGCATTTCTTTAAAAGTTTAAAAAAAATCTCTATTAATACTCTTCTATTATGTTAATATTTTAAGTTTATATATATATATATATATATCATGTAATTACGAATCTTATTTTAGTATGTTTTATAGAAGATAGTTTCATAAATTAATAATAACATTGAAATCGTTCCACCGATCTCATTGATGTCTAATTACATGTATATTTAAAACAGTTTTATTCATAATTTATACAAGTTACAGTTTCTATTCCGCTGTTGTATCGATTATCAGTTTCCATGAAAACATAATACTGATTTAACTCGTATTCTATATTTTCGTATCGCAAGCAATCGGGCAAAAAGCTTACATTGCTTGTTATCACCCATATGAATGAAACACGGTCTGCGTATCTTAATAATATAACTGTACAGAATATCTGTTTTTCCCACACGTATCTCATCAGGATTCTAGCGACGGTTTATTTGGAATTTCGTCGACCAGTCGCGCGTGTATTGGTCATGCGCGTATATACGACTGTCGGTTTTTTACGCTTCAATACAAGCAAATCACCGGAACCGCGTGCGCGAAAAAGGAAAAAGAAGAAAAAAAAGGGAAGGAACGCATGATTCGATGCACAGCCAACGAAAATGTAAATTCACCAGCACCGTAGCCAGTGGCATGCATCCGGCCGGAAGTAAAAATTCTCCTCGGTGTTATTGTTCTTTGGTCGCTTTCCCGACGTACAGCTCGTATCTCTTAAACGAAGAATTCCTCGATTTACCGATACTATTCTGCAATGCCGGTCGCGGCTCCTGAGTCTCCTGGTGAAACGTAAGGATATTGGCTTTGCCGATCGGTATTTCTACGGAAATCGTATGAGGAAGAGATGCCTGATAGGAAAACGTATTTCGATTCCTAACAGGAATACAGGCCATTTTTTTCGTCCTCTGGGTCGTCGGAAATTCGCTGTAGACGAAAGTTACATATACATGCCAAACATATCTTTATGCATGGGCGTATATATGCAAGGGAAAACGGGAAGAGCGCTTGTATTAAACTGTTAAATTTTGGCAAAGAGGAACAATTAAATTACGAAAATCATCTTTATGACAAAATATTTATTCACGCCAGTGCATGGTTCGCGTCTTATTCGTTGAAGATCTTCGAAGATTGATACTTTAATATAAGTATTGTACTATTTAATATTATTAAATTTGTAATATTGTTAAATTGAACTTAATGTAAGTCACCACTACTCCTATTCGGAAATTATATGGAATTATATGGAATTATTGAAATTATATCGTTATTTTATTAAAATTATGGTTATATTTGACTATACAGCCAATTTGACACTATATAATGTCAAATTTAACTATCGTTTTAGTATGAAATAACGATATATATTTAGTAAGAGCTTAAATTAAGTTAAATTTGACACTATAGGTTTAACAGTGTACTCTCTAAATTTATTGAAGTGAAATCTCACTTCAAAAGAATTAAAATACTGCCGCACTATTGAAAAGAGTACAAATATTTGCACTCTTGAATAAGAGTAACAGATTTTCATTGTTTTTGTTATAGAGAGTGAAATTTCACACTTTTGGAATGAAATTTATTTCAAAAAAAGCAGTGAGATTTCTTTCCTTTTGAATGAATCCCATTCCAAAAAAGAGTGAAATCTGCCACTCTTATTCAAGGGTGCAAATATTTTCATTCTTTTTCAATATTTTCACTCTTTTGAAGTGAGATTTCACTTCAAGAAATTCAGACAGTAAGTTTTGTGTAAAGATACTTTTTTTGCTCCCTCTCCCCTCTCCTTTTAAAAATTTATTTAGATACCCATGTTTTTTTACGTATATTTTTTTTATGTATATTAAAAATATACTTTAAAATATATTAGCAAGTTTACGGATTTTATTTCAATCAAGTATTATTTATATAAAATAAGAAACATA